CTGACACTGCTGCACCAGTATTGACTTCCCACTGCACTGGCTTTCCATCCACTTGCACTGTTTTCTTGACTGGATGGCTTTCACTTGCTGTTGTCTCCTGTATAGACTTGTTGATCCTCATGAAGTACTCCTCAGGTGGGCTTTCATGTTGGGCTTGCATATGGTGCAGTTGGTCCATCTGTTTTACTATGGTAAAACCATGCTGACCTTTGTTGCAACATGCTGTTTGAGTGCGACCATGTTACATTTTCCACAATGAAAGCAGTCCTTCTTTTTAAAAGAGCACTCCCACTAGCCATGTTTTGGGCTGTAGTATCTTGCATGTCTTCTGCATTTGAAACACTGTGACTAGCCTGGTTGTTTTGGTGCATTTTCTTTTGCATCAAGTTTGAGGTGGGCTCTTGTTTTTGCACTATGTTTTGTGCCTGGACATTTGCCTGTGGCACAGCAAATCTGTTTGAATGGCATGCTTCAATGTCACAGGCATGAGCTCTGGCTTGCTTGGAGCCTCTTGCAAATGAGTGCAATTCCTTGAGTGTCATTTTCTGTTGCAGGGCCTTTTCCCCTCACCCTGGAATCTCCGACTCCCATGATCACCAGCTGGCGGATTTCCCAGGCAGAATCGGTGAAATCACAAGTACTAGCAAGGTGCCCGAGGCCAGCCACAAATGCGTCGGTGGACTCACTTTCCACTTGCATCGTTTGGTGGAACACATCACACTCGTCATCTATATTTTTCTGTGGAACAAAATAAGACCCAAGCTGCCTGCACATCTTTTTGTGGACATCTGCGGCCTCTCCCGCAGCATGCGGGGGCTGTGGCAGTGTCTCTTGCTGATCAAACACTGCAGGGCCAGCAAAATGGAGCAAGTAGCCTTTTTCCGGGCGGGATCTTCTACTTCCATCGCCAGACGCATGTTTTCTAGCCGACGGAGCGATTTAGGCGACTGGTCGGGGTGCGTCACATCGAACTGCGGCAATGCCATCTCTTTTCAGGCGGGATTCTAAACTTATGGCGGGCAATTCAGCGTGAAAATAACAAATGCAAATTAATATCCTCACCGCTAATCTTGCTCCATACACGCTCCGTGAAGAGAGATGGGACTTTGTTGGCTGGACATGCCCGCAACCACGATCCCACACACGTCGCCTG